TTATATTGAACTTTCAGCCATGTCTTGCTAACAATACAGGCGTTACAATAATGCAGCACAGATGCTCAAGTTACTGTATCCAATAATATAAATCTGGCCTTTAGTCTTTACAAAGTGATGTGTCTTGGCTGTGTTTTAGTAGACTAGTATTTTGTAAAATACAGTCAATATCATATCATACGTTTTATATGTATATAGATTGTTAATATTTAGAAATAAGTTCTTAAACTAATTTTTTAAAAACATAGAACAGTAAATAAAGAAGTAACACAAACAATTATCTCTTCTAGTTACGACCTTTGTACTCTGTTGCTGCTTGATGTAGGTTATTAAGGATTGGTTTGGTTGTTTGGAATTAAGCACAAAGCTGCACAACAGGCTATCTGTGCTCTGCCCACCACGGGTATCGAAACCCGGTTTCTAGAGTTGTAAGTCTGCAGACATACCGCTGTGCCACTGGGGGGCACACTTCGAGGATATGAAACAAAATATTTTTTTTTAGGTTTTATATATACAGTTCAATAACCAAAAATCATAAATTACTACATTGATACAACAGAATTCCACTGTAATTTATCAAGCTTAGTAACTAAGCTGTACTTGGGTTTAAAAAAATATGAAATTTCGAGCAGGCTAAAGACACAATCCACCTTCTTCAAATCTTGATTTGAAAGAATGAGATGACATCCTAAAACATGAAATTGGCTGAGAAAGTCACTAAGGGCACATTCTGACCTTTCAATTGGTCATTCATATGTCATATATTGAAGTAAGTGTATATAAGGGACTGTTTCCAAAAATACAAAGAGTTGAGCATGGCCACTGTTTGATTCAGTACATATTGGTAACTTGAGTTCCTGATTTGTAAGAAACTATAGACTTTGTGTTTTGACATCACAAACATCTAATTTGAACCATTGCTGCATGTGTATCATGTGATACAAAAAACTCGATGTTTAACTGTGTTTTTTTTAATACTTACATTTAAATTAAGAAATTCAATAATGTATAATACTAAAGTTTGAATTATAATCTACAATTTGATACCGACCTAATTGACATAAATTCATAAAATTATGAAATTTTAAGAAATTTTGAATGCAAGTCAACAAATGTGATTACATTGCCTTTGACCCATCTCGAAAGGGCTAAGAAAAGACAGCTTGGTGTCCTCTGAAGAAACTTATTTTAAAATTAGGTTAGTTTAATAATATATATGTGTTTTAAAGCAACAAAAATAACTACATGCAAACATGAAACACAATATTGAGAAAAGAAGAAAAAATTAGAAATATAAACACAGTATTTATGATATTTAATAAGAAATTGGAACTTCCAAAATACACTTACCTTCTCTCACACTTTAGCTTTATCCTGACAGAAGTTTCTTTTCTCTGCCAATCTAAGTATTGGTATGAATCTTACCTCACTTGCTCCAGCTTTTATACTATATTGACTAAAGCAATTTAAATCTTGTGATTCTCTCCACCTACATCAATGCACTTCTATACCAGATCCATATATAAGCTACCTGTTAGTTCTCCCTATTAAATTTTCTCAACAGCAGAACATTACAACAATGGTATTACATGCTTGCTGCAGGTTTCTCTTAGGTGTTCGTGAACTTTAGTTATACCTACGTTTTGGACGATTTTTTTTCAACCCATATTATTGAGTTTTGAGTTTATTGTCTATTTTCTTTAATTTCAATAAAAAAATATCAGATATGAATTTTCACATTCACATCTGTGACACAGAGTCTCCTAGTGATATTAATCTGCCACCTCTGGAGTATAGTGTTGCCTGAGCATCGGGGGAGCCCCCTTTCTCTGGAGGATGCCAAATTCTTCACACACAGAGAGGTGGAGTCTTACATGAGGTTTGATCTTTCTTCTCCTGTAGGCTCAGAGGCTGAGCTTGCAGGGGATCAGGGGTGGACTGGTGGGAATTTTGACTCAATTTTTCTGGCTCCTTCCTTTGCTCAGATAGCTAATCATGAGCCTTGGTTGAACATCCCACAACCTGCATCGTTTTTGCAACTAGTACATCAAATTTGTGATGTCTTGAGATTTCTCCTTTAGTTTACAACTCTTCTCCTTCTTTGTAACTGACTAATTACCTAGTCCTTCTACCTTTGCCAGACATTGTTGTGTCCGCTCGAAGAATTGCAGATCAGTTGAGTGAAGCTGCTGCCATGCCTTGTCCTCCCCATTTATCAGATCAGCATGCCTTAGCTTGGAGGACCCATATTTAGATTATCAGAGGTTGGATCCTCTTCTTCCTCTTTGACGTTCTATGCCTGATGTCTTTATTCATCTTACCCTCACTCCAGGATTCAACTGCCCCTTACATTTGCATTTTGCATCTTCTTTGCAACTTTTTGTCTGAGGCCTTTCGTAGGTCCACTGCTCAATTTTCAGATGGAATCTCAGGTGGATATGGCCCATTTCCACTTTTGCTTTTGACACTTGCTTCCTGTATCTCCCATTCGAGTTTCCACACCTCCTTCATTGGCTCCATATTCTTTCAGAACACAAGGGAGATTCCACCCTTATAAGCATGCATCCTATGCTTGTGTGGAGTGACAACAACAACAACATAGGTAACTACCCTATGGGTCTGGTTCTGTAGTGACTCAGATCAGATGGTTCAGGTCTGTATGGGAGACCTTCACCTCTGATCAGTGGGTCATTCAGGCTCTTACTAGAGGGTTGGCCCTTCATTTCACATTTTCTCCTCCATTGTCTACTATAACAGTTGTCTTTCCCCTCCCCAAGGATCATCTTACAAGCCATCCAGAATCTTTTGCATAAAGAAGCTGTACAGTGTGTCAACTACTCTCTCAGGGTTTTTTATTCTCGTTTGTTTGTAGTAACAAAGAATATGAGCAATTGCCAACCTGTCATCGACGTTTCTCATTTCAATTGTTTTCTATAGCCTCCCCTGTTTACCATGGAGTTGTTTTTTTCCTCCCAGTGGCAGTTTGCACCCAGTCTATGGATGACAAAGTTCGATGCCACTGATGCCTCATATTTTGATTGCAGTCTTCACGTTGGTATCTCAGTTTTGTACACAAGAGACAGGTTTTCCAGGTTTTTGTTCTACCATTCAACCTCGCATCCATCCCATATGTCTTTTGCCAGATAATAAGATCCTATTCACGTCATCTTCATTTAATGGGCATTCACACTCACTATTGTATGGATGACTGGATTCTTCTCACTCCTTCCTGCCACTTGGCAGAGCTTCTCGCTTGAGCTCTTTTATCTGAAGCTGTGAGTACTGGGTTTCTCATCCAAATGGAGAAGTCTATTCTTACTTCCACACAGTACCTTGTCCATGTAAGGGTATTTTACAATTCTTGTCTCAGTCAGGCCCAACATTCTCCTCTATGCTTTCAGGCCATGGAACGAGCAGTATTTCTAATACCATCATCTCCTTCTCCACCAACATGTGCAGTTCATTCTCTTTTGGGGATGTAGACATTCTTGGAATCACTCATTCCTTTGGGTTGGGCCCACATGCATTTCCTTCAGTGTTTGTTATGGGACCTTTTGTCTGGCGACCTTATTGGTTTCCAGCCCACTCAATCTTGGTTGATGGTTGATCTCCTGCCCCACGTCCAGAGATATATCTTTTCATGGCTGCATCTTTTCAGGGAATTTAAGGGACTTTAGACAGAAGAGGAATCTTCTCTCCACATCAATCTTTTAGAGATTCTAGCAATTTGAGGGGCTATGTCTCAGGCTCTCGATTGTTTGTGAGGGAAGATGGTACTGCTTCACTTGGACAATTCCACAGTGGCCTCCTACATTGATAAGCAGGGGGGGGGCACTCATTCCAAGTCTCTTTGTTTTCAGACATTGGCTCTTATCTTTTATGTCTACAATCATCAGATAGTTCTCATTGCTTGTCATGCTCCAAGTTATAAATTTTGTGTCCAATCAGTTATCTTGTCCCAATGGAGTTCTTCCTACAGAATGGGTGCTTCATCCACAAGTTTTTCCTTGGATCTGCTCTTGTCTCTGGAAACCTCTGTTCGTTGCTTTTGCCACTCACTGGAATGCCCAGCTTCTGTCCTTCTGGTCTCCTGTCCCTCACCCTCTGACTTTAGGCATAGATACTCTTAGCCAAGATGGGATGGGTCTTCATTTGAGATTCATGTACACAGGACTCTTTTTACCATTCCACTTATGTTCTGTTGTATTTTGATAGGTCCTTTCATCCCAAAACTTCAGCAGCTAAAGAAGGGGATAAGGCTTTCTCTCCTGTTCACATTCCCTCCATTTCCTATTTTATGAATGCTCGGATCTGGGTCATCTTTTATGCCTGATTAGGGCCCTTTGATGTTCTGTTGTGGGCACTGAAGGATTTTGGGGTTCATGTCACCATTTATTTATCCATTGGGATCCTAAGGTGTCACAGTTTATCCTGTCACTTTGACAGGCTGGGTTCATCAACTGATGCATATTGCTTACTCTGGGCTTTCATTTGAGGGATTGAGACTTCTTTGAGTTTCATCTCATCAAATTCACCATATCTCAATGTCCATGGTTGCTCAGTTGCATTGCCTACTGGAGAGGATTGGTATGTAAACCATACCTAATATATTTATATTTCATTATTTACATGATTTGGCAGTTGCTTCTTTGGAAAGTTTTCAGGTATCCCTCGTGGCTATTCTCCAGGCCCCAGCTCGTTTGTAAAAGAGGTGAGTGATTTAATTTCTTTTGTTTTCTTTTTCAGGGACCCTCTCGACCTTTTCATTGGGATCCCACTCTGTGGCGGATGTTGCCTGGTCAGGTATGCTTATCTCCAAATCTGTATTAGCTACCAGTCGACCAACAATTAATTTTCCTGGTATCAATGAACACTGGAGATGGGGTATTCCATAAGACCAACCTTGTGCACTTTCCAGGTGGTACACAATTATAACACAAAATCAAATACACTACAGGACTGCCATTCATGGACTATCACGAGTAAAGGGGGATTTTACCCATCCCTGCTGACCTCTAAATTGAATAAATAGGGGTTATTTTGCTTTTCAATATAAGGAATGTAGTCCACTTGTTTCACTGTCTCTGGAACATCATTCCTCTGGACTCCCCAATGCCAGTATTCCCCCATTTCTCCTAGTGGACCATGCGAGTCTTTACCACTCCTGGTTTCCAGTCACTAGAGTGGTGGACAGAGGTTTATTCCTTCTGAGTCATGCTTGTACTCATTATTCCACTCAAGGAGCAGAGGGCATAGCTGGTTGCCCTCCTACAAATAACCCTGGATGGTTTTCCCAGATGTATGGAAGGAGCAAGTCCAGCCTATGTGGGAGCTTCCTCATAAACCAGTTCAGAGATGACTTTGCACTATCCATTTGGGTTGTGCATGGCCCCTCTTTTTGGTCATTCTTTTTATTTCATTGATCATAGAAGAAGGTCCTTGACCCCTTGTAATTTCACAATTGAAGTGTCACTTCCTTTGCCATTGGTTGAAATTTGTTTCATTTTGCTCTTCTTCAGGTTGAGGCAAAGGTTTGTTCACTTTGGTGTTGCTTGCCCTCTCATAATTCTGGTGGCTCGACATGTAGCATTCTGTAACTTTCAGGTTGGGTTCCAATAACATCATATTACTAAACAAGACCAAACAATACAACACTCCTTATGCTCTAGCCACTACACCTTAGATCTTGATTTGGGTTCACAGTCCTATAATTCCAAGGACGAGACATGGGACCTCATCTGCTTGTTTGGGACCAGGATGAATTCATGTTCTTCTAAAGATGTTAGGATTTCACTGCCCAAGAATTGGATTTAATGTGGTCCAGGTGAAGAGCATATCTGTTCCAGAAGTAGTGCAGACCCCACTGGTGTGTATCACTTATCTCATTTTCACACACCTCATTTCTATGCAGATGCTTTCTGTGTGGACCTTGTCCTCACTGGCCCCTCCACCTTGTCAATGTGGGATTCTAGCTAAAGTGTGAGAGGATGTAAGAGTGTTTCAGAAATTAACATTTTCCTATACCAAAAATGTATTTCTGATAATACTTACCTCCTCTCACATTTTAGCTTGATCTCAATGAAAGTTTCTCTTCTCTGCCCATCTAAGCATTGGTATGAATCTTATCTCGCTTGCTCCAGTCTTTATACCCTACTATATTGTCCTTAGCAATTTAAATCTTGTGATTCTCTCTACCTTGTCAATGCACCCCCTATACCAGCTCCCTGTTATTACATCCTATTCACTTTTTGAGATGGTCCATATTAACATACCCAAAACCAGCCATTTCATCGGGAGAAAGGGCGGGAGAGTGTGAGATGAGGTAGGTATTATCACAAATAATTATACTATTCCCATGGCATATCTTTTTGTTGCTCGTGAATGAGTCTAGATTAACAATTATTCATAATTATATTCTCACTATGTAAATGAAGATCAAAAAATATTCTTTAAATACTATATTTAGTTTATGTGTTTTTAAAAAGGTTTTTAATCAGTACAGGAAAGTAACAAAGGCAGTGTGCTTGGAGGATTGACTTAAGTAACAGATATGCAAAATACAAATAATATAACAAAAATATCATTGATTCTTTGAAAAATTAAAGTTAGTATTTTTTATAAATTTTGGATTTCAGTTATAATAGGTGTTTTAGTATTCTTCATACTTGTATAATTCCAATTTTTAAGCTTACAATTCTTACAATCAATTTCTTCTAGTATTAATTTCTAGAAAAGTATTATATTAAGTATTAGAATATGCAAAAAAGAAGAGTCATCAAATCTGATGCATTTAGATATAACGTATACTAGAAAAAGTTTTTGTGAAAAAAATATTTACACAAAATATGATGAGTAACTCTGACATTATTTGTTCTTTGATTTTTCCACAGCTAACCGAATAGAGAAATATTATTGTTAACAGTTGTTTTTATTTCAAATTAGTAGGCTTATTGTTATTATGTGATTAGTAAATTAAACATATAAAGATCTTACATTGTGAACATTTTCAATAAAATTCTCTTATTGTTCTATAATAAAAATGGGAAAAATGGAATTACATACATCTGAATCATATTAATAGAGTAGAAATATTAATTTAATGATAAAGAATAAGATAACAAAAATAATGAAAATCGTGTTTTAATTAATGGATGGACAAATGGTGTTTAAGAAAAGAAATACCATGTTTGAGTAACCCATTGTCAGAACTAAAATGTCAAATGAAGAAATAATGTTTGACTATGTATATGGATGGATGGTAAAAGTATAAGTAGAATGGAACATAATAACAGTAAACATACATTGTAACTAATCTATTCAACAGTCTATGAAATAAATATAGTTTCTTATGTATAGTTACTTAAGTTTTCATTTTATAAAAGTAACGTACAGACTATTCTATTTTTAGGTTCTGAGACATCCCAAACAGGTTTCCGAAAAAACAGTTGTAGCAGTAGCACAGTTAGCTCATTTTGTAGTAGCATGTTTTCAGACAACAAATCAAACATCATCAGCAATGACATTTCTAGCACTCAGGGTAGTCAAGTTTCAGGAGTATTACATGGCAGAGGTATTGATGAAGCTCATTATGAAGCAACATCTTTGTACAGCTCACAAAGATCTAGTGGAGTAAGTAGTCTCTCAGGATTGTCATCTGGGGTGGAATCACAACTAGAACAACTCCACTCTAAAGCACAATCTTCACAACACCTCAGCAGCACAAGAAATCTCATAGTGCAACGACACAGTGAAAATATGGCTTTACAGGCAAGAATTATGCCCAATCAAATCACTGTATTAGATCAAGGTTTTACTTCTAGTGAAAAGAAAGTTAATGATGCATTGCAACCTCTTGGTGCTAAAGAAGAGACTGCTGGACAAGCTGAACAAGGTGTAAACAGTTTAACTAGGCTAACAACATTACCTCCAATAGGCCAGTCCAGTTGGTCAAAAACACCTAGTGGTTTTAGTAGCTACAATAGAAGTCATCATCCAAACCAAGATGTAGTTTTAGAAGACTTGGAGGAAGACAAACCCATTGAAGCAAACAAAGAATTAGTGCTACCTGATGAAATGATGCACTACCTTAAGCAAGGTACTTGGTTGGAACAACCACAATCTCAGTTGAGTCATGCAGTGTCTAGTGTAAGTCAATATGATGAATTGCAAAGAAAGAATGCTACAATGACATGCACACAGCGTAACAATAACCAGGTCTTATCTTCTAACTGTACATTTGAAAGATATCTTATGACCACTACAAATAATACATTGAGTTCTTCAGTAGTTAGTGCACCAGTGTGTCACCTGGGTAGTAATCCCCTATCAAGTAGTTCACACCACCAGCAAACAAACTCATTTCAACAAAAACATTCTAGAAACCAGATTTCTGAAAGCCAAGAGCAAGCTATCTTCATGACTTCTAGTTCCAGTTCTACTTCTTTGGGAGCTACTCACTACCGCAATTGTCAACACCAAAAGTATAACACACATCCAATTCCAGCTCAGAATTGTTTTCAACATTTAAGAACAGGATGTGTAAACCATCAAATAGGTGGTTTAGATTCAAGTCATAGTGAAAACACCAGTGCATCCAATATAATTCATTGCCACCCAAGAGGTAAACAAAAAACATGATCACCAATGTCAACAATAATTTGAAGTTCTACAAAGTCAGCATATATGTGATACTGGAAACAAACAATGGTGCTCAGCAATTCCAGTTAGCATGGAAAATATTTACTCAGGATCATCCCTCTCAGCAATCCAAACCAAGTAGCCCAGTGTATTGGACACAAATTCTCAGCCTCCCAGTCTTTTTCCACAATATCTTCCTATTATTATAATCCAAACTTCCAATATGCCTAAAGAACAAACTTATTTACATTCTGATTCTAACCACATACCTATTCACCAGTCATGTTTATATACAACTTCCCAATCCAATGTTTTATCAGTTTCACTTTCATACCCAACATCAACTTCCAATTCACAAACATTTCCTGAAAACCAGCAGATTTATAAAGCTGCAGGATTAAATTCTTACTTACACCATAAAATTGTCAACTCTCAGAGAGAAACTAACCTCCAAGCTTCATCTCATCATCATAGAATGGGATCAAATTCTAATTTTCCTTTCCCTCACAATAACATAACATTTAATACCCCAAAGTCATTTCTCTTCTCACTGCCAGGATCCAATACACAAGCTCCTGTTCTTCTTCCTCTAATAATACCTAATTCTAATACTACCATTCCTCATAACCAACAATCATATTCTCGTACTGATTCTTTGTGGATTCCTTCACATCAATTTAAGAAATATTTAACAAATCCTCAATATCAGCAAATCCAGCAGTACCCTCATCATTTAAAAACATCTCAACAACAACCTAAATTATCCTTACAAAAACAGACCCAGAGTTATCCTCAGCACATGCCACAACAGCAGTTTCAACCATTTTCACAACATCCACAGCATTACCTTTCATATGGTACAAGTGAATCCTTTATGCAATCTCCTCGTCAGGTTTTCCCATAACTTGTTGCCAAAGGAACTTTCCCTTATTCTCAACATACTAGTTCTGTGTCTGCCTGTAACTCATCATCTATGGACCAACAGCAATCCTTATCATGTGTTTGTAAAACACTTTCCATATATCAAAATCCTTTACTATCTCCAAGTGGTAAAATTCAATCATTGCACCAACAAACACATCCATCACCTGGATGTACATGTAATAGTTGCTCCAACTCCCAGTTTGAAGTCCAGTGCCAAGATATTAGTCAGTTTTTAAGAACTGTTATGCAAGCAGATTATGTTCAACAGAGCCAACAGATGACGTTTTCTAGCACTAATTCTTGAAGTGCTACACAGAATGGTCTATTTGCACAGCTTGAAACTAAAACATCACATCAAATGGAAATTTCTCCAAAAGTGACCGGTACTTCTGACAGACAAGCTACAGAAAGTGTGTCAGAAAATAGGTCATATTTGACAATTCTATATGCAAACGTCAACCATATTTCCTCAAACTCCAATTATGCCCAGCCTTGAGAAAATGGGTTGATTGTAGGCTGTGCTGAACAACATCATTCATCCCTACAAGCAACATCTAATATGATCATCAATGACATGAGCTCCACTTTGAATTTATTGATAGAAGAAACCAGATATCTCAGGATGATGCAATAGAACTTGTCTTCAACATTTTAAGTTTACACCAAATGTCAATTTATAGAAATGTTGAACAATTTCTTAAAAGTGATGTGCTTACATATTTGTAATGTTTTATAAGAAACATTGTAAAAATTCACAACTAGCAATTTCAAAATGGATAGTTGAAAGAAAAGATTGGGAGGAAGAAAAAAGCTCCCTATGCCTTAATCTCATGTATCTCATGAGTTTCACTTTACTCAACATATTACGTTTATAACAAAACATTTTATATAGATTGCACCAAACTTTTGCTATAAAATGATATTTTTTCTAAAAAATGAATCATGTGATTTTGCAGAGTAGTTACATATGGAGAAATATTTTAAACTACATGCATGCAGTAATAATATATGTGAAATTACTAAAATTGCATATATATTATATTTCTGTGTGTGTATATATATATTTATTATTATTTGAAGAGCCATACCCTCTCTATGGTTTAGAAGGTAGTCAGGTTGCTGCTAAATAATTTTTACAGTCAATAAAATCATTCATACTTGTTAGGTGTAGAGAAGAGTGATCTAATGTCTTTCAGTATGTTTAAACTATGGAAACTGAGAAATCTGTTCAGATACACTGCCAAAATGTATATTTATGTCCTCTAGTCCTATTATTCTCACTGTTAACTATGGAAAAAGATGATACATCAACACTATTATTCTTTAAACTTCCCAATTTTTACTTAACCAGCTCAGAATTAATGCAATCATCTTGTTCAATCTCATTTTAACTGTTGAAAGTGTGGAATAATGCTTAAATCTTTGTTATTAAAAACTGAATAAAAAGCATAATTTAATAACCCGAACATGAACAGCAAAGGAAATAATCACTCATGTAAAACCATAAAAAAATCTTTACCATACACAGATTAAACTATGTAAAAACGAAATTAAGAGTAGAGAAGTATGGATGATGTCACCATATGCATAACGGAGGGATGGGTGTAAATAGTACTATGCATTTAAGAAGAAAGGTGTGTGGGGAAGAAATCTATCATCCCTCAAAGCTTCAACTCAGATAGCAGCGTTTGTGTATTAACTTTTATGGTTTTTAGTGTGATATTCTTTATTTGTTTATAGATACTTAAAGTACCGATATCTAGGTACAATATCATTTGGTTTTAATACTTGCTTCCAATACCGAGGTGTTTCTTACTAGATAAGTCGATTGGTTTGTCATTTGGCTCAAAGTGGCTTTTGTGCTAGAGTGGTTTGGTGGGTATCACGTTTTGTAGAATAGGTTTAACTCATGTTTAACCTGACAGTCACCGAGACGCCCTGCACAGCCGTCATATTCATTTAGCACTCTACATACCTAACCTCTTAGGTGAGTAGTCTAGGCAGATTACTTAACTGTTTCAATTACTTTAAATACATAGCACTTGCCTTTACATTTTATAAACTTTCTGCAATCAAATGCAAAATAACAAAACCAAAAATATGTTTCCAACGTAAAGGATGTGTTCCCCTCCCTCGTAAGTTAATTGCAAGACAAATGAGAATACGGAATAAAATAGAATGCATACTAGTCATTATTTAAATATAAAATGATGAGAATAAGCTTGCCTATCATATATTACAAACACAAAACCAGATAAACAAATGGCACAAAATAAAATAATACAATTGAAAAACAAGGCAAAATTACCATTAACTAAGTTATAGTAAATATCATTCGAAACGGATGTCATCGAAAGAACATGATGCACCACCAATGCCTATTTGTTATGGTACAGCCTGTTTCTTAAACAAGTTCAATATAATTTGAATAGATAAGTAAAATTGTGTCTGATTTAATAAATATACCCAGCATTACATTCATGTAGTACGCTCAAAAATTAATGTAGTTTATGCAAAATAAAACATTCGCTAACATTTACAATGTGCAGATATAATTCATTCATACAAATCAAGCACATTTCTAAGTTAAAGCTACTTGAAAATGATAGACGAGTTATGTTTTATTTCATTTTCAGTGAACCAATAGTAATGATTATAGTCACAGAATATATGAATATTCCAGTTGCCACAATTTAGCAATATTTCTGTACCAACATCAATAAAAACACAGTGTCCACCAATATCACTTGGTGTGCTGCATTGTCAAAGCCAAACTTACAAGTATTTCTGTTTAGAGATAAACCAAACACGTTCTTTAAAAACATCAAGCAAACACTAAATACAGCATGTTTTTGTTTCCTAGCTGATCGTTGTTGCTCTTAGCTAACAAATACACATTTCAATATTCAAACCAAGTTTGTCATTGGCAAGACAAATTGTGATTTTGTATATTTTAAGTTTGTAAACGTAATTAAATATGTACGATATATAGTGTCAGACCTAGAAACGACTGTTTTTGTCATAATTCACCATTAAAATCAAATTTCATATCGTCAATAAAACATATATACTAACAGTCTAATGTAGTATGAATAACATCAAAAGTATTTCTACTGTCATAACACAGAAACCAGCCCAAGTAACCACTGTACATGCTATTTCTGTTATCTAGGGATCAAATAATCCCCTACAACTGTACCTACAAACAAATACAGCAAAATGATAAACATTCTATCAAGATATATATGGTCCATGTCACTTTCTCATGCTGTGTTAGAGCAAATTTTCCTTACTAATAAATTCTTCTTGTGTAGGGTCCTTATACATTTATATTATTGACATATTTTATAAACTTCAACTTTGCCCTATGGATAGCTCTGTTATTCACTTATATGAACAATATATATTTTAATAATTAACAAATAGAAAATATGTGTTGAGGTCTTCACTGTAATACTAGGAGGGGAGCAATAACATAATATGGTTAAGCAAGTGTGTTATGTAACATTGCTCAAGGTGAGGATCAAAGAAAATTTATGATGACTTGCTTCCTGTTCACAAAGACACTAACTAACCACAGAACACCTTCATGAAAATCTTGTAAAATGTACCTGAATAACGATACCTGTTAGGTATCTGCTTGTTTGATAATTTCCAGTAAAAATTATTTCCAAATAACTTCAGTGATACAGTCCTTTCTTGATTGAACCAGTTTATTATTTCTTGATACACCATTTGTAATACACATAATTTCCACAGTCACTTTAAACTTAACAACCTTTAGAACACATGCTACAAATCACAGTGATTCACACGCTTTACATATGGTGCCTACTGTTCGCTTGACTCAATTATCTATCTCTTTAACCCCGCTGGTTTTTCTTGCCAGGCTTATATACTAAAAAGAGGGCGTTTCGAATGCACTTGGGTCTTCATGATCATTCCAGAAACCCCAGCACGCATGCCCCCAACATCGCGTGACTTCCGCTGTCGTAACATACCGAAAGCTGGTTAAGCATTAATTATGCCTAACATTTTGGATAAAAATCTATTAAATTGTAGATTTTCTTTTTATGAGGAACGTGAAAAAAGAAACTGAAGAGTTGTGAACTTGTGGTTATAAATAAAAGGCCTCTTGGGCAGAGATTTGTGGACAAGAGATAGAGCTGAAATGATATTTTTACAACTTGTGATTTATAATTCATAAATTGAAAGAAATGCAAAAGAAAAACATTTACAAATGTTAGGCCTATTTATACTTATTTTCTATGTATATAAAGGTAAAGAAACACATCCCAGCACCCAGTGATTCTTGCACAGTATCTTGCATCTTTTATTATATTATCACCAACATTTTGACTTAGAAAATATTTTGATTGAAAACATTTTCATGGGAATTGTTCAGTCTTGTTTCATTATTATTCAACATGTTTTCATTATTTATAGTATAAAACAATTGCTGAATTACTAGAGATATGTAAAACTCCAAAGGAGATGATAATATATTGTCTCGCAGTTTGACTGGTAATGGGTTGGCTAAAAGAATAGTATCCAAACTACTCATTTTTAAAATGTTTAAATTTGTTGAGTATTCAGAAAAGATTAGTTACTAATAAAACTCAATTCAAGTCTATAATTGAATCAGAGTTCAAAGTAAAACATGATGTAGGAATGTACGGAACGATGACCACCATGTTCAGAACCACCAAGTGTTGTAATGTTAATCGCCCATGCGTACCTTGTTTCCTTACTTTTTGGTGCTCCAATTCCTACTTCCTATTTTTTTTATTTAAAAAATTTTACACTTGTCTTATTACTTGTCTATTACCTATCCTTCTGGTAGCTTTTCTTAATGCTAAGTCTCGAGAATGACATGAATCTAGGCCCATCCCTCTCATTAGCTTTTCTTAGAGCTATCTCTCGACATTTCCTGGTTTTTTGCTGATATCTTTGCAATATATTTTCTTCTATCTAGCCAGA